AAAAATGGTACTTTGATTCATTTGCTATGAAGCAACGACACTGGGGAAGAAAACATGTACTTTTAAGGCTAATATGGTGTTGGAATTATCTATACTGAAAGTTCATTATATGTCACCTGCTCTCCAATGAGGGCAGAAAGATTGGGTGCCACTTGATTCATTTTAGAAACCAAATAAGTATGGAGACTCTTCCTGTATTCTGCCAGACTGATCACTCTCGATGCAAAGGTCTGGATATTTATCAAGTCCACTGGAGATATATCCATCCCTAAGGAAATAAAAAACCACAAAATTAAGATAGGTCAGTAACTGAGTTGGAAAGTTGTAAATGCCAGTGCAGTATATTGTTATATATTTTAGTAAAGTATCACCACGCATAATTATGTATAAAAGTTCTACTGATTGGACATGGATGGAATAAATATGTTTATGTAATAATGTTTATGTAACACAAAAGTGCACATTTTTGGACACATAAATATATGTTGGTTTCCAATATTGTATCTGCTAATGTTCTTGGGTGGTAGAAGATGATAGAGTATACGTGCAGTATTAGATACAACTGAGTCAATGCATTTCTGAACACACTCTACATCTTCAAGATCTAGAGTGATATAAGGGCATGCAATACTCTACCACCAGCCTAATGCAGGTGAGATAGAAGCAGATGATAATATGAACTGGAACATTTCTCGTCTCAGCAACACTTGACTTTCACAGGCATATTAAATTGATAAGTGAAATAAGTGTAAAAATCATCCAAAGACTATGCCAAAATTTAGCCATTATGAACACCTCAGTACACACAAAAAAAACTCCTTTAGTTTAGGATGAAAAGTCAACAAAAAACGCAAGTTAGCATTAACTAAACAACTTAAAAGCCAATCTGTTAAAATAATTGATCAGTTCACTCACCCATTGATGATTTGGAAGCATCATAAATTGCTTTGGCTTTAGCTGAGTCCATCACAATTTCTTCCAACCCTTCCAGCTTGTCTTCAGAGAAATCCTTTCTAGACTTGATGTATTGAGCTGCTTTTGCATACATGTAATTGTCAGAGACTATCTTGACAAGCTCTGGAAAATGGTATGAATACCATTCTCTATACCAAGGAAAAAAAGCTCATGTGAGTACAGGCAAACTTTAGGGGTGGTCTGAGTAGGTTGCTGTGGGACAAGGGAGGCCGCAGGCATTTAAAGGTTATTTAAAGGGAGTAGTGTCCCAGGACAAGTTAGAATACTCTCTGGTGCTCATAGTAAGTGATCAACCTCTCCCTCTGCCATTCTAAAGTTGCATTGGGAATAACTTCATCTTCAAAATATTCCAAACATTTGTTTTCAATGAAAATTTGATTTCAAGTGTATCATCATCTGGAACAAACAGGGATAAATTTACAACACACAAAAAGGTATTCCAGTGCATTTTCTGTAATGATCATAGCGGTGTCAGTAACAAATGCTTGAATATGAGAGGTTCTTGACCAATCAGATTTGTGGTGTTATTGGCTGTTTTAGGTCCAGACTGTCCCATTTTACACATCCAATTACAGACACTTGTATCTACAGGCCTAATTGGATGGTGTGGTAGCCAATAAAATTTGAGCTCTTTGAGCCACCAGCCTCACTAGCCAATACCAGCCAATAGAAATGAAGAAAACTTCTCACATGAGCAGGTTAAGGGGTCCACATTTTAACCAAACATATATCAATGCATTATATTCTTCATTCCCAAGTTTCTCACATTTTGTTACTGACACAATCAATTGGTTATGGCATTTCATGTTATACAATTCAGGGGTAATCATGCTGGTAATTTCAAATAAACCTCATGCTATGCACCCTCCCTATTTGAAATCTCTCACCCCTTTACTCCTCCACCATTCAAGAATCATCAAAAAAATATAGATTAATCAACAGTCAATTTAGGTTCAAATATCAATTTTCCAAATTTTGGTGCATCCTTACAAAAATGACTATCCAAATTTCCATGTCCAGAAATTTTCCTACCATTCCCAAACCACACCATGGATCACTGTACACACCTGATTCTCATGGAAAAGGTATTGATGTCTTTATCCAACTGATCCAACAAACTAATGGACTGGATAATCATGTTGTCTACACGATGAACATTAAACTTTACTTTTGCTCTAGAGTAACTGTGGCCCAAACCCAGCTGTGCCTTGGCAGCCATTGGACCAGTCAATCCCTTGATCATCTTCTCAAAATGAAATCTTATTCCTCTGAGGACCTCTAACACCAATCCACCAGACTCACACTGGATGTTTACAGTCTCCTGAATAGCTGCCCCAAGTTTGGCATCCGAAACACCAAGAAGAACTTTACTCTTCTTTTTCCCAGTTGGAACATTTGCCTCCAAAAATGTTTTGAGGTCATCATGGATAATACCTAAAGTAACGTAAAAATGTCAAACTAAGTCAGCTGGAATCACTGGCAATATATAACTTAACCCTCTAACCCCAAAGAGTTACTGTCCTCTAATTTCTCCTCACAGTACCCCCCTTAATTGAAATGTACAGGTCAGGAGAATAAAGAAAATGGTCCACAATTTAAGAAACTTCCAACTGTCAAACAAATTCTCCTTGTCAAGAATAGTGTGGAGAATACGAATACCTACACTAAGGTGCAAAGAGTTAAAAAGACATCACACTACCTTAACTACATGCAAGTTACAATGCTTAAAAAATAATTACAAAATGTAGCTTCAAGGGGATTTTAGGTCTGCCATGAAAGTATATTAATTGTTTATTTCAATGCACACACGTGATCGGTGCTCGATCTTACTTGATGGAGGGTTGGTTGTGCAGTCAAAAAAGACGAAGGAGAAGCACAACAAAACCAATTCTTTCTAACACGTGAAGCAAATTGTAGCTACGTCACGCACAATTTCATTCAATACGTACTACCAAAACAAACTTTACAACCCACGATCAAGCAACTTCAGAGAATTTTATATACGCTCACAAACCTTCAGATATACAGTTGATGTTATCCAGTGCATTAGTTCCCGATTTAAAGGGAGAAAACGCAGCAAGTTTCACTAATTTTCCGAATCGAGGAAGATCAGTAGCAGACTCTTGTACTTCGGGTAAAAGGACTCCGATTTCTTCCTGCGCGATGACTTTGAATACTGCATAGCCTGAGGCATGCTCGTACAACACAAAGAGAACCTAAATGCAGAATTACAAATAGTTAGACTTCGCTAACAAATTGAAAAGATCGAAAATAACACTATAATAACTTGATGACCTACCATTTTGTTCAGAACCTCGTGGTGCAAACTTGGCTCCCAGTCTCTATGAGAAAATGGAGGGACCTGGGAAGTCTGGAAACGAATACAAGAAAAAGCCGTAATCAGCCGCAATCTCGCATTTTTGCACGAAAAACTGTCGAGCTGGCTCCCTCAGATTACACATATGAGTGAATAACAACAGAAATCAAAGAAAGTTCAGAGAGAACTGAATAATAACAAATGAAGCGAAAAGGCATTTGGACAAATGATTGTTCAACTTGACCTAAGTTCACTATGACCGAAAATACAGATTTCTGGATGAAAATCACTGTAAGTGATAATGGAAATGCAATGCTTTCGTTTATAAGCGATTAAAGTTTCAAAAAAGGCTTAAAATGTAACCAAGAAGGCCACCATAATAAAAACACAACTCAGTAATCTGGCGGCACACGTATGGCAGTTTGCATTACTTGCACCAAAAATGCAATTAAGAGTAGTTCTTTTTTGTTTGGAGAGACGGCCAAGAGATTAAAAAGTATGACCTCTTAACTCACGGGTAAGCATCCAGGTTTCTAAGCAAAATTCAAAATGGCGGTGTCCGTGGTCGAATTTCAATACATTTAAACACAACGCACTTACAATGCACAAAAAAAAAAGACCTAAAAAGCAGAACGTACTTACAACTAAAATGACAAACAAACAAAAAAGATAAAGGGCGATTACAACTAACGTAAGCAACAAACAGATAAGAAAGAGCGCG